AAAAATGCATGTGGTAATCATAAAAGTGAAGCTCAAAAAAAAAAAAAAAAACAAGAGTGTATGAGTCGCATCTTTATTTAATTTGGCACTGTTTTAATAAAGCTAAAACTGTGGTTCACGGTCTTGACAACTTGCCTCATTCAAAAGGAAACAAAAAGGACGGGGTGGGGGGTAGGGGGTGGTGATGTAGACAGACAGATGAATTCAAATTCCTTTGATCTGGGCCCTAACTCTAAAGGGACTCCAGATAAATCAATGAGTCAGAGGGGAGCAGTAGATGGAAACCAGAATACTGATGACAACAGCTTTCTGTCTGCCTACCTGTCTTCTGAGATCATCATCAAGATATGAGATCATTACCCAGGCCAGAGAAGACACAGCAAGAGGCAAGTCCACCAGAGAATTACCGGGTCTGTAGCACTGTCTACACTTTCCAGGGAGCAGGCAGTTGATGCCCAAGCACTGGTTTTCATTAGACCTCCACCTCTAAAGATGTGTGTCAATCTGAGTAGCGAGAGAAACCTACAATGGAAAAACCCAAGGAAAACCAAGATCTCTAGGAAAAATTAAAAATAATCTCTTACACTAGAGGCCTCTGATGGTTTCTTTTTAAGTGTGCTACAGCAGAAAGAACACTGACATGGGAGTAAGGAAATGAATTATCTTTCCATCTCTGCCACTAATTATTTGTGTGACTTCAGAAAATAAATTAACCTCAACAGGCCAATTTCCTCATCTTAAATAAAAGGAAAGGCAAGAAAATATCTAAAATTTGCTTTCAGCTCTAAAATCCCTTAAATGTAAACAGTGTGTTTTTTAAAAGCATTAATTTTTAGAGCATTAAGAGATCTTAAAAGTAGGTATTACTGAAGGTTCTGGAGTTTTTCAGGAGCTCTATAGATCTCTGAGTAGTGTGAACCCAAATGGAGGTGTTCATTAAAGAGTCAATATGCCACCAAAAACAGGCAAAATTTCTCTTCCAACAATCTGCCCTTTTTGCCCCACCACCCTTCCTTCAAACCTAATTTTTTTTATCACTAAATTAATTATCACTCCCTTCTCTGTACCCCATACAGTTCAGAGGCAAACTGTAATGACTAGTCAACTAAGAGTTAAAGAAATAAGCAGGAATTAAGTACACAGACATCAAGAGATAAGGGAGTAAAATGACTGAGGAGAAATTTTTTAAATAATTAACAAATATTTTTTAATAAATAACATGCACATGATATAAAACAAAAGATTTAATTGGTATACAGGTGAAAACAAGCAAAACCACTTTCCGAGAGATAAATCAGAGGACACTTAGAGAACTTCAGGATCTAAGTTATGCTCTCTTTGTGAGGTTGGGTAGTAGTTATGAGTTTGTATCAAATTTTATATTTATATATACATATAAATAAAATAATACTCTATAAATTCTTTTGCATGTATGGAGTACTCCTATAATAAACTTGAAATTTTATTAATTTTTTGTTAAACAAAAATTCTCTTCTAATCCATTCCTCCAGACACCCCTATCTCCTCCCTGAAGCAAGCTACTATTACCAGTTTCTTTTGGTCCTTTTAGAAATATCCTATACATGAACGTGTATGTGTGGACATATATACACACAAGAGAGACAGAGAATAAACAAACTGACTTCTTAACAGTGCCTTATCAAGATCAGAAGCATATTCGTGGAACAAAAGCCTACCTTGGAAACTACCTCAATCCTTTTCTCTGCCATAGAGTGATACACTAAGAGGACTGCACTGGCTGGGAGTAAGTATAGGGCCTGCCTGGTAAAAAGCCTTATATATTAGCTGTCAAGAGCTGAGCCCAAGTGTTCGTCCATTCTCACCTACACCAGTGTCAATGCTATGACCCAACATTCCCTTAGCCTTAGCTTCAGAAATTCCATAATGTCTACCTAAGATTATTTACTTTCTTTTTTTTTTTTTTTTTTTTGAGACAGAGCCTCAAGCTGTCCCCCTGGGCAGAGTGCCATGGCATTACAGCTCACAGCAACCTCCAACTCCTGGGCTCAAGCGAGTCTCCTGCCTCCACCTCCCAAGTAGCTGGGACCACAGGCGCCCGCCACAACGCCCGGCTATTTTTTGGTTGCAGCCATCATTGTTGTTTGGCGGGTCCGGGCTGGGGATTCGAACCCGCCACCTTAGGTGTACGTGGCTGGCGCCTTAGCCGGTTGAGCTATAGGCACCGAGCCGAGATTATTTACTTTCTAATCATGATGATCCAGATAAGTTTCCATAACAGTGATAAGGGCTCTAATTGTGACTTGATCAGAACACCTACGGTACAGCAGTACACACTGTCGGCAGACAGCACACACTGTACATTCTGAGATGCAAAAGAATTTTAACTTCGAACATCATGCTTTCAACAGCACCTGCTTTGGGCAAGGACTGCCTAAAATATAGGATGGTGTTTCAGAGGATTCATTTCTTAATGTAAAAACAGAGCTCAAATACTTTGGTAAAATTGATTTAAAGGCATATGCCTATTAAGGGGAAGTATGACAAACCAATTTTATCATTTATTCAATCAAAAATACTGAGTGTCTACCATGTGCCAACTTCAGGAGCCAATATACAGATGAATGTATTGCCCTTGAGAAATTAATACTCTAAATAGGAAGAAGACATTTAAAAATGACAATTCATGTACATTATAAAAGTGTTAGTGTAAGAACAAAGAGGAGGAAGTGCTGATTCTACTGAGATAGGATACACAAAAAGGCAGCATCTGACTGGATCCAAAGGATCAGTGAGAGACCACCACCAGGAAAAACAATGAAAGTCTATATACATATATGAGCTTGTCTCACCAGAATCGCTAAGTTCCAAATAGTGAAGGAAACCTATTACTAAACATAGCATTTATTTTTTATAAATAAATGCACCCTGGTTTTTGCCATCATATTCAATATCCTAAAGTTTGACTTCAGATAAAAACTTTGCATCTTGAATTCTGTCCAGAGAACTTTAGTTCCTTTAAAAATCTCATTAGATAGTAGTCTCACCTACAAAGCATATATTTGTGGTCAAAATACTCTATCACTAGAAAATCTATGATCCATATAAAATCCAAATGTGCTGAATTTCCAGAATGGTTGACTTTTAATTCACTGAGGTTTCATAACAGATGCTTTTTCATTTCCTATCATAAATGACTGCAATATTTTACTATATACCTTTCATATTACTGTTACAATCCAACTAATAACCACAGCACTTCAGAACAAGATGGTAACAATTTTACAAAACCAAAACATTATTAAAGATTTTGAACATTCAGGAACAAAAGGTACTGGAGAAATCAGTTTGCTACTATTCTTTCCTACACCTAGTTTCTCTACTTTTACAAACATAAGCAAAAGAAAGAAGTCCACATACATGCTATTCTTGGCAGACCTTTCCTTCTACCTGTATCCAACACCCTTGTCAATTTCACCCATACTTGTCTTACATACTGTTATCCTTTGAAAGTTTTATGAAGTAACTGGTCCAACAGATGGATGGTTAAGCCTGCCCAACATATGTTGTAGGAAAAAGAGCTCTTAGACAAGACAAGAAAATACCAAGTATATCCCTTTCCCTTTCAGGGCTAGGAACACTGATATCACCTTGGGGGAAAGCAAGCGAACTTTTAAACTTTATAAAGAAAAGTTACGGGACTGAGATGATCTGTAAGTGACAAGGTGATCAAAGAAGGGAGAAACATTCAAATGCTAAAACCTGCTCCTCAAAACAAAATATGCACTTGCTCACAGCTAGCAGAGAACTGGAGGGGTGGGGGAAGCTGAGTAACTTTAATTGGGAACTTTTCATCAAAGACAGATGGGAAACATTCAGATAAGCATGCTACCTTGTTTAGAACACAAAGCCCAACAGATCTGTGGGAAGGGAAAGAAAGGCAACCTGGAAAACACAGCCTGTATCAACAGAAAAATCCAACTAATAAATGACTCATTACGGTCCTATTAGTAAAACCAGAAACAATAAAATGGTAGTGGTATCTCTCCTCTTTGCTCTTTCCCTAGCCATAAAGCCTATTAACCTGATAGCATCTGACCCTGTCTCTGACTGATGTATGTCTATGTCTTTCAACATACGACCTAAGCGCCCCCCAAGAAGGACAGTGAAACCAGTTCTGCCAGACAGGATCTGCCAGAACCAAGGAGTCTTATTTTCCTCTGAGTGAAGGCCAGTGGATGAAGAAGAAGCTTCCAAAAGCCACTTGTATGAATCTTTCAAGATATGTTCTGAAATAAGAAAACACTACAGATTACATTTTAGTAAAAGTCTAAAAATAACAAAAGAACATTCCCTATTTTTAGATATCTGACTTACAATTTCAAAAACACTAAAAGTAGAAGAAACCATTTAAAACTAACCAGAATTTTAAAATGTTTTAAAAGACACTTCTGAACTGGAAAACTATTTATTAGAGATATACTTTTTTAAATCCTACATTCTCTGTTGACTGCCTCCTTGCTCAAACTTCCCCATCTCCAAAATGTAGTCCCAATCCTATGTGTTATCAAGAGCATTTTCACAGAATGAAAAGATATCATATAAAGGTTAAACCATGAAAGAACAGCTGAGAAAATGATGCTTCAAAAAGATACAAAAATAGAGTGCAGATTGGTGATTAAAGACGGCAGTGCATAAAACAGCAAAAGCAATTTAACTGTCCTTCATTAAAAGCAATGCTATGAATAAGAAACTTGAATAAAAAAGACATAGTTTTTTCTTCTCAAATAGGTCTCTTCATTCAACAGTCTTAAGATTGGTAAGCATCTAATATAAAGCTATGTCCAAATAACTAAAATTTGCGATTAAAGTTATTAATATTTTTACAATAAACACCCGAAGATGCAGCATATTTATTGGATAGTTCATGTTTTTTCCTCCTCCTCACCTCCGTCCATCCCCTAGCCCAACCTTTTAAGAAGTCTATGGCAAATCCTATTTGTAGGAAATCCAGAAATTACCTGACTGTACCGCCATCATTAACATCTCAGGTTCCAGCAGAGTCATGATAAATTCTTCTTAGAAACAACAGCCCACAAATATAATGAAGAAAGTCAATGTCACAGGAAAAAAAAAAAAGATGTCTTCAGAGGCTACAGAAAGCTTTCACAAATTCAATCTCATGCCTTATGTTCAAATCAGACTATGAGAACTCACTCCCCTTCTCGGTGCAGTCACCTAGGTATTTATCCACCCTTCGGGCAAGTCAAGATGGCACAGAGTTGAATTACAGCCGACAGGAAACCAAAAAGCACTCAAGACCTACGAAGTGTGGTTAGAACAGTGAGTAAGCTCCTCCCTTTACTGTTCCTCTCTGGGAGGAGGGGAGGGACATATATAAAGAGACTTTCAGAAAAGAGATTAACTGCTTTTTTTCCTTTCTTTTTAAGAAGAGATGAGGTTTTGTTCAAAATTCTACTGTAAGAGAGATTCTGCTGCTAATGCAGTTTAGAGCAACAGATTAAACATAATCCAAACAATTCAATCTTATGAAAGAAGCAGTCCAATTACCCTTTAATGAGAAGGAGGATAGGGATTAGACACATATAAACATGAACATACAAATAAATATGTAAACCGAGTAAATTTTCTGAAAAAGCATTCCAATGCCTTTTTCATCTCTGATATTTATAGATAACTGGCTAGGGAAGTTGCACATTTAACTACAGAAACTCAACTATTTCTCCACCCCCACGTCAATTAAAATATCTATTTCAAAAAGTTAACTGAATACATTCCAGAGCTATAATCTGTCTTTCAGATCTGTCAATCCCTTAAGAAAGTTCTTTACTTATTATGCCTATGTTATCTGTAACTAGACAGCACACTGATGCTATTTGACTTATAAAATGCTTTATGATCGTGCCACATATATGAAACACATAGGAAGATAGTTCTAATATTTTAGAATGTCTCTTTCCTGATAAAAAAAACATTAATCCTTTTCCCGCTAGCAAATCTTCAAACACAGGCATTTTACCTTCCATTGCAAAATCAAAAACCTTTTAAATAATAGCAAATTTTTATTTACTCAAAATTAAAAGCTCATTAATTACCTTTACATTATTAAGAACTGACTAATATTCATAATAATATTAAGATACCTTTCAGTATACTTGATTGGCTTTAAAAAATTGAAATCTAGAAATCCATATGTCTATCTAGAATTCCTTTATCTTTGGTGGTATTAGCCTATATCTTGAAAGTCTGCAGCTATAAACTCAGCCCAGACGATATCTTAATCTACACAGTGAAACAAATGATAAAAAAAAAAAAGCACTCCTCTTTTAAGAGAAAATAGTCTCAGAATGCTTGAGAGGACTATTTTGTTATTAGAAAAGAGAAAGCAATGCAGATTTGAAGTGGGGGAGATTCTGTGGAAGGGAGAAAAAGTTCCTTTCTTTCTCACTCCAAGAACATCATGTCTAAAAGAAAAGCCAGAAAAGCTCTATATAGAACTGTGGGAATGAGTCAACAGGCAATGGAGCGGCAGCCAGTGTGGGCTACACGCTGCTCTAGGATGCCAGAAGCTTCTCACTGGCCCCTTCTCACAGCCAAGCTCTCAAACTGTCTTATGAAAACTTTATAAATTTCAACTTTGAGACTACACAGTAGTCTGGTCAGAGGTTAGCAACTAAGGGAAATGCATCCCGACAAGGTTGAGTCATTCCTTTGTCCCTATGTGAGCTGTACAATTTGCTGTGTGAAGCTTTTTCAAAGGAAACAAGTTCTTAATAGTTATGTACTTACAGGAAAATAGATACAAATTGTAAGATTCCTGCACAGAAGATAGCAGGAAGGGCAGAGGGCTGTTTCCCTCCTGCCAAAATTCCCCTCTGCCATAGAGGAGTGCTTATAATGTCACAGTTGTCCCTGTCCAGATACTGACAGTCTTGTGGTAGAAGAAATAAAAAAACAGCATATTTCAGTTAATTTCGCTTTTTCATAGCAATTCCACATCCATTATCTCATTTGCACTTTATGATAAAAGGAGCTAAACAAAAGGAAAAAAACTTTTTAGAAAGAAATCTTAAAAAGTAGCTTGGCACTTGTAGCACAGTGGTTACAGCCCTGGCCACAGACACGCAGGCTGGTGGGTTTGAACCCAGCCCATGCCAGCTAAACAACAATGACAACTGCAACAACAAAAAACTAGCCAGGTGTTGTGGCAGGCGCCTGTAGTCCCAGCTACTTGGGAGGCTGAGGTAAGAGAATCGCTTAAGTCCAAGAATTTGAGGTTACTATGAATGACGTCACAACACTCTACAGAGGGCAACATAGTGAGACTCTGTCTCAAAAAAAAAAAAAAAAAAGAAAGAAAGAAATCTTAAAAAGTAATGACAAAAAATAAAACAAGAAGCAATGTAATTTTTGCCTATGGTTCAGATTTTGCATTTACCCTCAAGAGCATCAGTTCAACAACTGTCACTGTGAAAACAGACTTTAAAACAGATTTCACAATTCTAAAATTTTGAGGCCCTATAATAATTTTAGTTCCACTATTATTTGTGTAAATGAGCAGCACTTCATAGAAATAAGCTCTCGGCTTGGCACCTATAGCTCAACCGGCTAAGGCACCAGCCACGTACACCTAAGGTGGCGGGTTCGAATCCCCAGCCCGGACCTGCCAAAGAACAATGACGGCTGCAACCAAAAAATAGCCGGGCGTTGTGGCGGGTGCCTGTGGTCCCAGCTACTTGGGAGGCAGAGGCAAGAGACTCGCTTGAG